GCGCCCCCGGATGAACAGTGGCTGATGAGATCCCCTCTCCTTCCTCGTGTCCACTATCATCTCCTTCGTCTTGTCCCGTGTTGAGGCTGAGATTATTGTCCTTCCACCATGACACCAGACCGGCCACCTCCCTCCTGTAGGCTGCTTCGTCCCCGCCAGTGATGCGACCTATCACTGCGGTGTCGTCCGCGAACTTTGGGATGATGTTGTCTATGTGGGAGACGACACAGTCGTGGGTGAACAGGGTGTGGAGGATGGTACTGAGGACACATCCCTGTGGGGTGCCGATGTTCGTGATAATGCTGGCTGAAATCCTATTGCCAAGCCTGACAGTCTGGGGCCTGCCAGTCAGAAAGTCCAGGAGACAGTCACAGAGGGTGGGGTGCAGACCCAGTGTGGACAGTTTGTGGGGGACAACTGTGTTGAAGGCGGAGCTGTATTCAATGGGTAGCTCATAGCAAAGGTGTAGTCAGTTTCTATTTGCTTCGATTCTCAGCTCAGCTCTCCCAAAGAGCCGACCACACACTCCAGTCTAGAAGGTGGCGGTAATGCACCTAAAGGTGTTTGCCAACCGCCATTAAACAACTGAAGAAGAAGAAGAAGAAGACCCCACTGACAGGTGAAGAGAATAACAGTGATTATTTTGTTACAGAGGCACCTGTCAGTGTGCTGGTTATATAAGGCAGCAAGTGAACATTGACTCCCTTGATGCTGATGTGTTGGAAGCAGGAAAAATGGGAAAGTGTCAAAATTTGAGTGACTTTGACAAGGGCCACACTGTGGTGGTGATATGTCTTTTGCTCGGAGGTGTGTGGCATAGATTATAACAAATTTTAATGTGCAGCGTTCTTTGTGTATGCAGATGCTTAGCTGTTACTGAGGTGAAGCAGTTGAACAAATGTATAATTTCGAGTTAATGTAGGCTACTTTATCTAATGTTAGTGAAAATTTAATGGTGGTGTGTAACATTAGCACAACTCTGCTAGCAAGAAGCCTTTCGGGCTGTAGACAAACCAGGCGTGTGTCCTCTAATTAGCTCTGTGTGTGGTTAGCCTTCCGGTACGCTATTGTTTAGCTTTAGTATGTTCATTTTAACATCGAGGTTAATTGTTAAAAACCTGCTTCTAGGAAATTTTTGCCATGACTTAGCGGTAACTAGTCACCTTTTCCCCGTTGGCTCTGTAGTTTGACTGCCAGCGTTATGGGAACGGTGTTGCATATTAAATATATATTAATATATCTGGACTAGATTAACGTTAGAACTCGTTTTAAACACCCAACAAGTTCACTAATGTTTAGAAGACACTGGTATTTGACACAGATGTCTGTTGTAGTGGAGAAACCTTTAAGGTAAGAACGTGAATACGGAGTTTTTCTGCCACGTCTGTGTAAGATGGAGCCTTGGACTGACGTCCATCGTGTCAGTTGCCAGTCATCATAATGAACGGCCCAAAAGACAGTTTTAAGATCAGATTTAAAATATCAGGTTTTATTGACAGTGGAAGCAATGCCAGGATTTGATTGCATCAAAAACTGTCACCTTCACGTTAAAGAATGGTGTCCTATTAACGTGTCTAAATCTAGATTACTAAAGGTCGTTGAGTATCCAAAAATTAAGAGTAACTGGAGGATGACTTGTATAAAGCTGCAAGTAATGGAATGTTGTAATCTTTTTTTTTTTTAAGAGGGAGACCACATGTTAAGTTAATTCAGTGCCTATAAATGTTAATTTTTTTGTAGAAAATGCTAAACACAGGTGGATGTGCTTTTCAAATGACTTTTTCATCATATCTATATTTGTGACACTTGTCTTATTCTACTCCTGTAATGCCTCCTGTTCTACTTTCAAGGTGACAGACCTGCTGAGTACATCAACGCCCAGTGAAGAAGATAACCTAAAATGTTGTGGGCTTTCACTACAAACCTCCAGATAATTCAGATTGTAAATTGTTCAGACCATTGTGAAATATGTGGCATTAAATTATTGCTGTGGATAGCTTCTCAAAGTGAAATGCAACATTCAGTCAGTTTAGTATTGCTTAAATGTGGAACTTTTTTTTTTTTTTTTACGAGTGGTGCTTTACAACTGAATAGTTTAAATTACTGTTAAATATCAAATTTGCATGGCCTGTTTCATAAATTGAGGGTAAACAAAAATGGAATTGTTGGTGAATGTTCCTTATAGGCTTGATGGCAATGAAGCCAGCAGAAGGATGACCTCAGCAGTACAGCCTTTTCTTTGGACTTGCCACCAGTAATTTAGAGAGGGCTTTCAACATTTGGTGAGATAACATCTTGTATCAATTTTTTCCCGACATTGTCTAGATAGAAAATGTTGACTTGAACTTTGCAGTGTCCATTCTGCATTTATACTTATGAATGACAGGATGTTCACTGCTAAGGTACAAATGTGCCTGCTAAAAGCCTTATCTTCAAAGTGAAAAAAACCTACCAAAACATTATGGGTTGAAACTGGAGCATATTGTGCTTTCAACTCAAAACTTTAATTTCCCCCTTAGGCAATCCTTAACCAGATGTCATTCTGTGGCTAATCAGCAGCAACACTGAGGACATGCATAGAGACAGGGAAGTTTGTTTATAAATGCACCATTTATTATTGAAATCAAAGCTTTACAGAACTTTTTTTTGCAGCCATCCCAGCTCAACCAGCTGCTTATGAAGACTGTCTCCATAACTGTGGTCCAGGCACATGCAGTGAAATGGCATGGAGAAAAATGTGAGGTACTCTGCTTCGATGGCCCCACCAGTAGAGATTTCACATCTCAAGCCAAAACCTCAGCAAGTGAGAAAAGATGCCTGCCAGACTTTCCCTGTTTTTTTTTTTTTTTTTTTTTTTCCAGGCCCTGTTCTTGTCCTGTTTTCATTGTGGCTTTCTTCAATAAAGCTATTGCAACTTAAACTTTCTTCTGATTTTAATATCCAAGATGTGAGGCACTGGTTCAGGTCTTGGTTTTTCACTGCATCTAGTGAACCAAGACCTGAACAGTGCCATTTAAAAAAAAAAAAAAAAACACGTGAGACTGACTTTTGTTATGGGCCCTGTTTGTGTTTTCATTAAAGCTATTACGCACTGATTCAGTGCTTCATTGTACTCCAGCATGATCCACATCCAGGAAAATGGTCCCTCTGAAATGGAAAAATATTCAAACATTTTAATAAACAAGCTACTTGACACTCGCCTCCGTCCTCATAAGGGTCGACAGGAATAAGTCTTCCCAGTTGTGTTCAAATCTTGAAGTTAAGAAAGGCTGTGTGCACAAATATAGAAATAAATTCAAGGTTAACAGCTTAATGACTGAAAAGCAGTGTTACTATAAAGCCTAATGCAGAGAATAGTTTGACCTACTGGTACAACTAAATGCACAGAAGTTATCAAAAACAAGACTGCACTGAGTACCTGGATGTAAAGTCAGGTTTCTTTGCAGCACCAAGGAAGAACTCCAGAGCCATGGATGCCTTGTTTCTGGCTATTTGGAGGATCAGGACCTGTGACAGAGTTGAGAGCAATGGTCACTCACTATGTTATGACAATGTTCGCCATAAACAGAACACAGTTTTTACTAAAGTAATACAGGCTCTGAAATTTTGGTTTAAGGCACAACACCAAAGCTTCATTATAAAGTGAAACTGTTACACCACAGCTCATTCTGACCCTGTGTACAAACATGGTGGATACAAATGCTGAGCGAAAGCACATAAAGACACTAATACGCACATCTTACAGCTGTCTTAAAACACCATACGTCAAACTAGGAAGTTTGTCAGTGGAAAACATGGATCAGATTAGAACAAGGAATGAAGTGTATGCAGTTACATTGTGCTCCATGTTAGTTTTAAAAAATGTCCGAAGCAGTTGGGTTCGTCGGACGTCAGGTAAATCAGTTGATTGGTTCGGTTTGTCATGTGAATCACTTTGGATCAAGTGTGTTCAGAGATAGGATATCCCTATTTAGTGATGTTCATTTGAATCTGTCTTTGCAGAGTAGGTTGGTTTGTTGCTTTGAGAGTTAGTAGTGTTGTAGCTGATTGTGTATTTAGTGGAGAATCACTGTAGATAGATAGATCAATAGATAGCTAGATAGTAAGTTACATAGAGAAATAGATAAAATTGTTACATAGATAAATAACATTAGATATAATTACATAGATAGTCCTAAATAACATTAGATATATATAGATATTCCTGCTGATTAAGACCCAGTGAGGTCCAAACCGGTCGGCGTCTTTTTAATCATCTCTCTTTGATGAGTAGGTTTCACAATTATCCTGACAATTCACATGCTCAAGCAATGCAAAAGAATACTGGACGGCTAACGTTACCCTCTGATTAACACTTAACCCATGACATTATGACTGCTCAATAACCCTCAGTGCAATACCTATAAATATACCTTGTACATATAGAGCCATTAAATGCATATAGACTGTGTGTGTATATACACAGTACTTTATTTTTATCTCTTTTCATAATGCACATTCCTTTTGCTTGTTTGCTTTCTGTTCTCTCAGCCTCGTATTATTTACTTGCCCATTGCTGCCTTGCATAAGGACATGTACATGCACATTGAGAGCCGCTGTACCAGAGTCAAATTCCTGGTGTGTCCAATGAAGCTGATGCTGAAAATTTTCTTGCTAGCAGAGGTTTGCTAACGTCCGGTATTAGTATTCAGCTAACATTGGATAAAGTATCCCACATGGAATAAAAAACATAAATTGGGACAACTGTGTTAACAGCGAAACACCTGCACGCGGCCTACAAACAAAACGCAACACATGAAATGTTTACTCTGATTTTCTACAATTTTATTATGCAACCCACCTGACTAGCAGAACAGTCACGGGCCCTCTTGAATCTCCCTTACAGCCAAACTTACAGAACAACCACCGGAGACTAATTTATAAAACCCAGCTACCACCTGTTTGGCCAATTTCACTCTGCTCTGTGATTGGACTGTTACTTCTTCTTCGTTTGTTTAATAACGGTTGGCAAACAGCTTTACGTGCACTACCGCCACCTTCTAGACTGGAGTCAACGGCTCCTACCTACTACTATAACAAAATAACCTCACTCAGTTTACATATTATCTTGCTTAACCCTGTGCTCTCTAAAAACCTAATAAGTGCTCTGTATCCTATATCCCCTGATCTTTGTCCAATCAGGTTGAGGTGTGATTCACACTAAACCTCAGTACTCCTAAATAGAGTTGTATGCACAATTTGCTACTTTGTCTGTACATAGGTGTTCACAAACACGCTTGTTTTCAGTGTCTTTGTGTAACAATTTATTTACAGATTTTATTCACATGTACAAAAACATGTTTACATACAAATCTTTCCTACACATGCTCACAAAAATTGTGACCATGTACATACATTGCTATTTGTACCATTAAATTGCCATTCATTTGACTAACAGGCAGTAATGGGTCACTTGTTAAGATTGGTGTAATGCTGTGTGCCACCACTAAAGGGCAGCCTTACTGTGTGCTAAGGAGAAGGAATACAGTTTTTCCCTTGCTTTCTACAAAGCCCAGTTACAGAGGCAAGGGCATTGGGAAGGAGGTGACACACATGATGATGCACTACAGTGAGCATCTAATCCCATCTTTCAGAAAGTACTGAGCAAGAAGACAGAAGCTAAAACTCACTGTGTAGAAGTTGAAAATTTAATAAATATTACTTGTTTTAGATTTTATTTAGAAAATAAATGGTAGAAATAAGCCACACTTTTGCCTAAAACATGTCTTGTAATTTTTCTTTTTCCTACTGTATAGTGTCCAGATATAAAGAGATATACACAGGAAATGATTGAGATGTACAAACCACAGCACAGCCTGACTGTAGATATTTGCTCAGCCTTTGATTTTGAATCATTTGAAAGAAAAGCTGTTTAATTTGACTTTTTTATTTTTTGTCAGAGTGCACATTCATCATCTTGGATAAGCAGCGATGGGCAGATCCCTGTATAGAAGAGGAGCAGCGCACGGTGGGAGATGTCAACATGTTCCCGACGTACACAACAGACCTCTCCTTGGCTGAGCTGGAGATCATGATAGCAGGTGATGCCCAGTGTGCTTATCTTAAGTAAAAGTTAAATGATTTTATTAGTGTATGACCTCAGAAAGAATGTCTTTTCATATCATATCCAGTGATTACCAGATATTTATAAATACTTTAATCTAACAAATCTGATGGATAATGGTACGAATGTCTGGAAGGAATGATTTGGAAGCCATAAGGACAGAACCTGAAAGCAGTGTTGACCTCATAAAGCAAATGTCACTGAATCATATTTCACTTCATCCTATCATAAGCTGTATTAAATAAGCTTCTGTTATTTGGATAATGTGTTAACTTCTTTATGTAGGCATTGTAAAAATTCTGAATATTAAAAAAAGAATAAGTTAACAAAAGTAAAAGACGTTCTCTGATTTCATATTCAGATTTATAACAACTGCTTTAGATGATGAATAAGAGCATGTTCTGTGTGTACATTTACTGCAGAAGAAGTCTTACTGTCATCGTCTTCCCTCCAGCTCCCCTGCATGTCGTGCTCCTGTTCCAGGGTCAGTGGCTCTAAGGGGGTCAGATGCTGCAGCTCAGGACACTTCATCCATTCATGATACCTGAAGAGTGTAAACAGGTGGATAAGACACAGGGACTGCAGGTTTCTACAGCTTTAACTTATTCATGTATCCAGATGTCAAAGGGCTGAAGCTGGTTCTGCTGTGTCAGTCAAAGAGACTTCAAACTGTCAAAGGATCAAAAACTTGTATTGACAGCTGGGTCAGATGTGTCACCTGTCCTAAGTTATTTCTTCACCTTGTGCCAGCATGGACAAAAAGCTTTCAAATGCTCAATGACAAATGATGGACATTATGTTCATGAAAAACTACACATTAACCTAACACATTCAAATGATTACCAAATAGATACCATTATGAAAAAAGTATGTATGTTGGTAGGAAAATAATACAGATAAAATGCAGCAAATTGCAGTAGAACTCACGTTACCATAGGAATTCTGACCAATGACATTTCCACCGATCAGGTAAAACATTACAGCCACTGACAGGTGAAGTGAATAACAGTGATGAGCTCGTTACAGCCACCTGTCAGTGGGTGGAGTTTATAAAGCAGCAAGACAACAGCGTCCAAAGGACAGATGGTGAAGTGGGGACAGGGTCACGGACGGTCACTGGTGAGGAGGTTGAATTTCTGTAGATATTTTACAAGTAAATTTTAGTGTATCGCGTTTTTTGTGTATGTAGATGCTTAGCTGTTACTCTGAGGTAAAGCAGTTGAACATTATTTCAAGTTCATGTAGGCTATTTTAGCGTTAGTGAGAATTTAATGTTGGCGTGTAACATTGGCAAAACTCTGCTAGTAAGAAGCCTTTCGGGTTGTGTGTCCTCTAATTAGCTCCGTGTGTGGTTAGCCTTCCGGTACGCTATTGTTTAGCTTTAGTATGTTCATTTTAACAACGAGGTTAATTGTTAAAACCTGCTTCTAGGAAGTTTTGCCATGACAGTAACTAGTCACCTATCCTGGCTCTGTAGTTTCACTGGCAGCGTTATGGGAACAGTGTTGTTGCATATTGAATATATCTGGACTAGATAAACATTAGCACCCTCTCGTTTTAAACACCCAACAAGCTCACTAATGTTACAAAGACACTGGTCTTTGACACAGATGTCTTTCTTGTAGTGGTAATCTTTTTAGCCAAGTACTGAGTATAGAGTTTTTCTGCCACGTCTGCAAAAGATTGCGCCTCCGTTTAGATTTAAGTCCAGACAAACCATCAGCTTCCAGTCATTAATGAACGCCCCGAAAGCCAGTTTTAAAATCAGATTTAAAATGTCAGCAGGTTTTATTGACAATGGAAGCAATGCCAGGATTTAATGACTTTTTTTTTTTTAGAATGCAGTGCATGGAGTGGTTTTGTTGTATGAATATCTTTGTTCATGATCAAATTTGCATGTCCTGTTTCATAAAATTGGAATTAAAGTAATTTTCCTTACAGGCTTGATGGCGATGAACCCAGCAGAGGGACATCAGCAATTCAGAGATGGATGTTATTTCAACATGTGGTGAGATGACATCTTGCAATTTTTACCCTCCATGATTTTGTCTAAATGGATAATGTTGACTTGAACTTTAGTCTATTCTGCATGTAAAGGAACAAATGTGCCCATTAAATGCCTTGTTCAAAATGCAGCAAACCTATCAAACTAAACATGGATTTAATTTACAGAGCATATTGTGCTTCAAACTTTTCCATTTAGTCAATCCTTAACCCAATGTCATTCCATGGCAAGATGACCACCAGCAGCACTGAAGACATGCATAAAGACAGGTAAGTTTTAAAAATGCACCATTTTATTACTGAGATTGTGTTTACAACACTTTTCTGTTTTTGCAGGCTCAGCCATCTACCCCCATCCCAGCTGCTGAGTTGTGAAAACTTCTCATTACATGACTAGTCTTGTAGTCCAGGCACATACAGTGCAACAGCATGGAGAAAATGTGAGGGACTGTTTTCTTGACCCCAGCAGTAGAGATTTCCCATCTTGGGCTGAAACTTCAGCATTTTAAAGGGTACTCTCATTGTGCAATTCTCAGGCTGTGTTTAACATTTCCTGTCTTTGCTGTTTCTCTTCTCAATAAAACTATTACAACTTTAAAACATCCTGTATCTGCTTTTTATATAAGGTACTGGTTCAGGTCTTAATCACTGCATCTAATGAAGACCTAACCAGGTCTAAAAAAAAAAAAATCTTTTTTAATGGGTGTTCTGGGCTATTTCTTCAATAAAGCCATTACAACTCAAACTTTCTCAATGTTTTATTAACATAAGGCACTATGAAGTTCACTGTACTCCAGCATGATCCAAATAGGGGAACATCATCCCTCCGAAATGGAAGATACTCAACATGAGTGGGAAAATTAACAAGTTCAAAAAAAAATTGTCCAATGGTGGTTTTGTCCTCATGAGGGGGTTGACAGAACTGAGTCTTCATCCAACACTGGCAAGATCATCTCAATTAGAGGCTGTGGGAGAAAAACAAAATTATTTTGTTCCAAGTGTGGAGGACTTCAGCATGCAAACAAATTAAGATGCAAGTGTTTAAGTATACAAATATTATATTCTACAAGGTTGACTGTAGTAAAGTTGTCCGCTTTAAATGATTGAAAAGCAGAATTACTATAAAGCCTAAATTAGAGAATAGTTTAACCTACTGCTATAAAATTCAACACTGATATAGCTAAGTGCACAGAAGTTATCAAAAACAAGAGTACCTGCAAAGTCAGGCTTCTTTGCAGCATCAAAGAAGAACTCCAGAGCCATGGATGCCTCCTTTCTGGCCATTTGGAGGATCAGGGCCTGTGACAGAGTTACCATCAGCTTACTCAAAGTTGCTTACAAGTTTATCCACAGTGAATTTAAAAGATAATTCTATTTGCCAGCTGTGCTATCAATTTGCTGCATTTCACTTGACTGCAATTGTCAGTTACAACAATGTTTGCCAGAAACATTAGATAAAAGTTTAAAGCAATACACAACTACATTGTCCTAAATGTTATAAAAACTTGAGAATTTTCATTACAATGTATATCAAAGCTGTTCAAACGCTTTTGAAATGAGTTTGTCAGGAAAATCCCAGAAACCTGTACAAACCAACAGTGACTACTTTTACTTTTGGTAATTTATGTATATTTACCTGCTAATGCCTTTGCACTATTATTTAAGCAAAATTTTGGATTTAGCACACTTACCTGTAACAAGACATCTCAGTAAAAAGACGCCAACCAGTTTGGACCTCACCTGCTCTTCATCAGGGCGGAAACATACAGGTGCAAATGATTTGTTAATTTTCCGTGCTGATGAAGACCTGGTGAGGTCCAAACCGACCGGTGAGCTGCACCATTATTATAAAGTATAAGTGACATTTACATTAACGGGGCATGTAAAACCAAAGCAAAAGAGTACTGGACGGCTAACGTTACCCTTGAAGGATTTCTTGCTAGCAGAGGTTTGCTAACGTCCTACATTAGCATTCAGCTAACGCTAGATAAAGTATCCCACCTGGAATACAAAACATACATTTGGAGAACTGTGTTAACAGCCGATCACCTGCGCGCTGCCTACATACAGAACGCAACACATAAAATGTTAACTGTGATTTTCTACAACTTCCTAATGCGACCCACCTGAGTAACAAAACAGCTCCCATGTCACCGGACACTAATTTATAGAACCCAGCTACCACACTGATTGGACAATTTCACTCTGCTCTGTGATTGGACTGTTACTGTCCAATCAGAGTCTTATTCTTCTTCTTCTGTTGCTCAATGGCGGTTAGCAAACAGCTTTAGATGCACTACCGCCACCTTCTAGACTGGAGTGTGGATCAGAACGGCCCCTACCTACTACTATAACAAAATAACCTCTCAGTTCACATTATATTATCTTGCTTAACCCTGTGCTCTCTAAAAACCTAATAAGTGCTCTGTATCCTCTATCCCCTGATCTTTGTCCAATCAGATTGAGGTGTGATTCACACAAAACATCAGTACTCCTAAATAGAGTTGTATGTGCAATTTGCTGCTTTCTGTCTGTACATAGATGTTCACAAACACACTTGTTTTCAGTGTCTTTGTTTAACATAATTTGTTTACAGATTTTATTCACACGTTCAAAAACGTTGTTATCTACAAATCTTTCCTACACATGCTCGCAAAAATTGTGACACTTGTTAAGATTGGTGTAATGCTGTGTGCCACCACTAAAGAGCAACTTTACTGTGTGCTAAGAAGGAACAGGAAAAGTTACAAGACATGTATTAGGCTTTTAGGTAAAACTGTGGCTCACTCCTACCATTTATTTTTTTAAATAAAATCTAAAACCACCAATATTTGTTATGAATAAAGAGGGGTTTAAAATAGTGATGGCTGATTGAGGCTTTGTTGAAGCTTCGACACAGTATTCAAAAACTGGTTCAGGCTTCAATGACACAGTGCTCGAGTAGGACATCTGGTGGTCAATAAAATGAAATGTAATCGAGACGTGTAATTTATTGGTTCATGGATTGTTTGGGATTTCATTCTCCATGCACATTCCTATTCCACTACACTACAGGGTTGCATGGTTTCAAGTTGACGCAATAAAATATAAAGTAAACTTGAACTCATGTTGAAGACCACGTTTCTTATTTGGCACGTCTGATTGTAGTAGGCTATAGCTACTATATATTATTAAACAAGTCTAAATAGCCCATAGCTTAAAAGATGTTGAATAGTGGGTGTTCAGTAGGCTGGATGGCAAATGTGATCTCATTTCAAATGTTCAAACCCACGCTACATTGTTGCAAGATTGTGGTTTTCATGATGTGCCACCAGTTCCAATAATATTACCCCACTTTCGTTTCACCTATTTGAGTAACGTTAGCTACTACACTCCATGATCCTTCATCAACTCCCACCAATGTGCATGTTACAGCACTTACATCAACTGTTTTCATTTGCTCCGAGTATCATGGTTTAGTAATGTTACAGAATCTTTAGTACTGAATGCAACACTGTCAAACCAAACTGTGAATGAAATGGAATTTGTAACATCTCTATTAAAGATAAGATCTCCTACTTAGGTGTTATTGTTTCCAGGGATGAGTGCTCCACATGCAGTGACAACTTTAAAGCCATAATTGAAAAAAACACAGAAAAAATTAAATATGTGGCTCCAAAGAGATCTTTCCTGAAAAGGCAGAACTCTCTTAGCCAAGGCTGAGGGTTTGTCAAGACTTACTTATGCTGCAATGTCTCTCCATGTCAACAATCAAATCTCTAAAACTGTTGATGGTATTCTGTTTAATTTCCTGTGGACAAACAAAACACATTATGTAAAGAAGTCTGTTGTAATGAACACTTATGACAAAGGAGGGCTTAACTTTCTTCAGTTTCACACTCTTAACAATACCTTTAAAATTGGTTGGTTGAGAAAATCGTAAAAACCCAACCTCAATTTGGAATTCTGTTTCTGAACATGTGTGTCCTCACTTGGGAGGTTTAAAACTTCTCCTCATGTGCAACTTTAGTATAGACAAAATTCCTATAAAGCTATCCTCCTTTCATAAGTAATGTTTGGCAGCCTGTTCCACAATTCACAAGCATAATTTTTTACCACACAGATATACAGTCTGGAATAACTGATACATGTTGTATAAGAACAGATCTATATTCTTTGAACACTAATTTAAAAATAATATTGTGCTTGTAAATCAGTTTTTCAATGACCAAGGATTGCTCTTTACTTATCAGGAATTTGTATGCCATTATAAGATCCCAGTTACTCCCAAAGACTTTGCTACTATGTTTGATGCTATTCCCTCTAGCATACTAATGTTATTCAAAGGTTGTCCCCATACAAATACTATTCCTTCTATTGATCCAGCTGAGTGCTCAACTGGGACAATGTGTTTTGCAGCAAAGAACAATAGAAAAATTCACTCGTTATTTCAAAAGGAAATGGTTTCTCTCCCTAATGCTACTGGTTACTGGAATAGATATATACATGACATTACCTGGACAAAAGTATGGTGCCTACCTCAGAAGTATTTTGTGGTTAATAAAGTGAAGGATGTGATATATAAGATTATCCACAGATGCTATCCAAACAAAGCATTTTTTGAAGACATTTGGACATTTCTAAAGCTTTAATTGTTCTTTCTGTAGTGGCCACTTGGAGACCTTTAGCCATTTATTTTGGTACTGTGACTACACCCATAGATTTTGGAAAAATGTCTGCAGACTCAAATGTAATCACTTGATTTCTGATTTCTAACCTCAAATTTGAGAATCTAGTTTTTGGCATTCAAGGACATTATGTGGGACGTTTACATGGAGAACAACAATTTTTAATTAACTTAATCATCCTTCAAGGAAAATATTTTTACACAAATGCAAATTTGATAAAAGCAAACCCTGCTTCCTAACGTTTTGTAATTACAGGACCTTTTACATAGAGACTAGCTCCTCTTCTTCTATGCTTTGTCAAAAATATCAGCTTATTGTTAAGAATTGGCAGCTTTCCCTTTATTGATTGATTGATTTATTTTAGCTAGTTAATTCTGATATTGTTTTTACCCCTGGCACTGCTCTGCTCTGTTATGTTTTCCTTATATTGTATTTGTATTATGTAAAATAAAGTTGATTAAAAAAAAAAGTTGCTCGCCTGGCGCACACAGCAAATTTGATTTACTTCCGGGACTGCTTCCGTGTTCTGGGATCCACTGCACATGCACGACAGAGGCCAATGGAGGACAGCGGCCAAACTTTCTCAGGCTCCAGCATTGAAATATCTGCCGTGCACTCTGACAAAGTAAAAATCACATGCAATTACAAACACACCTTTTAGACACACTTTTATTAACAGATGGAAATCGCCTCAAGGCGTTTTACAAATGATATACACATTTATTTGCACTTTTATTCTATTATTTCAGACTCTGTGTGTATGTACATGCATGTGTGTGTCTGTGGATTTGTTCATGTTTGGTTGCTTAAATGTCTTTGCTCAATCCGTGCAACAGCTTCACTGGCTCCTGTGGGGTGTTGATCATGTCCATCCAGTGCTGCAGCTGAGGGCCTCTGGTGTACATGAAGGGCCCTAACACCAGCTCTCCCAGTAGGGCTTGAGGCTCTGGGAGAAAGATATATGAATAACACTGTGTCAGTGTTTCGGATCTACAACAATACTAGGGGGGGAACCCGTGCCCCTAATGGTACCCCTGCCCCCCCTTGAAGGTCAAGTCAATTTTATTTAATTTCATCTTCTATATAGCACCAGATCACAACACAGAAAAAGGCATGTGGTGAAAGGTGAGATGAAAGTTAGTTAGGTTAAAGTTCACTCAGGTTAAGCCCACCCATGCAATAAAACTTACACGATTAAAAAAGCCAGTCAGAGTAATTAATCAAAACATCATGACTCCATGGCTGAGTGACACGAGCACGGTGACAACACGAAGAAAGGTATTTGTAATTGCTGGTGTCATGGGGGCGGCTAAGGAGGATTCCCGGCTTGTCCAATCAATGTGTGAGCGCTTGAGAGTGCAAATGGGTGAATGGCCAAGTAGTGTGAAAGCCAGCATAAAGCATAGAAATGTGCTATAGAGGTATAAGACAAACACAAATAATTTAGAGAACTCTCTTTATTTTAGAGAACAGTAGCACAGTGACACACCCACACAGACACAGGTTGGTCTGCCTTCAAAATATATCTGTCAAATGTCAGTACAAATTATTTATTCTTTTAGAACTTTAAGCCATTTAATTTCTACCTCTCACTTTGGGATTAAGCCTTCCACTGTTTTAGGAATGCTCTCAAACTCTCACCTTCTTCAGACATGTATATATATACTACTATATATAAAAATTATTTTTCTGCAATATAAAAAAGAATAACCAAACTCTGTTTACAGCATTTTTTTGGGGGTGGGGTGAGAACTGAACAATTTGACTGGCCAATTATTATCCAGTGTCTGCATTATCATCACCACATGAAGAAAGATAACACAAAGAATGGGAACACCCACTGATTATCATGTTTTTCTTTCTTTGGTATCTTGCTGATCATGTCTACATGGTATGATTACTATCTATATATACATTAAGTCCTAGCATCTCTTCATTGGTTTCTACATATCACAAACCCTGAAGCAAAACACTGACCGGCTGGTGTCAGCAACCCTGGAACTGCTGCTGTGACTGGGTGCGACTCTGTGTGGCCAAGAGCTGCTGCTGCTGCTGCAGGAAGCTGATCACCTCTGGACTCCTGAGCAGTGACTGAAAGGCACACATTCAAACTTCAGAACAAAATAAAATAAATATTTCTGTCAATCCAATGCAGGGTTTCCCCTACCATAATATCAGGGGGGATGCAAAAGTGCTGCAAAAATAGACTAAAATGAATTCAGTGAATTATGATTCTAACTGTGGACAGACATGCATTAAGGGGCACTGTGGCCCTGTACCAACATGGCAGCCGCACATAACAGCAGCAGCTATTGAGGTCTTTCCCTGTTTTGCTTTGCTTTTAGCCAGTGTTTCCCCTACCATTATATTAAATAAGTCACCTATCTGTAACTGTACAAAGGCACAGCGTGACCAGCTGTGACTTACCAGCCTCTTCTGGTTGAGGACCTGCTCTATCAGAGAGGGTCTGGCTGGCCGGTCCCCCATGGCACCCAGGCGCTGTTTGTTCACAGAAACAGGTCGCTCCTCTGAGTTTTCCTGATTGAAGCAAAAAAAGACAAAAACAAACAATTAGCTGGGGAAAGTGTTATTTGTATTATGGTTCAATAACGTTTGGAAAAACAGAACATTCAACCATTTGGACACACTTTCCATCTTAGACAATGTTTTCTTTATTTCTATCAATTTTGATATTAGCGATTCATACTGAAGACATCAAAACAGTGAAATAACATGGAATTATATAGTAAGTAAAAGGTTTTAAAGCATATAAAGTTTCACGCTTGGCTTCTACAGTGCGGAAAATAACAGAAACAAAAACCACTGAATGAGAAGGTGTGCTAAAGGTGTTACCCGGTACTGTACTGGGTTGAAGTAAATGCATACTCAAGGCTTTGTATACAGTGTCCCCACCACATCATGGTGGGTTTTAAAACATGCCTCTAACTATGAGTGGATCTATGCAAGTTATTAGTTATATAAGTTATTAGTTACGCTTAAACTTACATCTATTTTTCCACTGGACATGGCCTGGTCACTCTTTTTCTTCTTGTACTTGTCTTTGTACATCTTGTTGCGATGTTTTTTGCACATCCAGGGTTTCCTCTGCTTGGCTACCTGCGTTGTGGTCTCCGTGCATCCCTCATAGGTGCATTGTTTAGGAGCGTTGTCGCCCTCCGAGGTGTCGTCATCGTTGAGCTCCTCCGGGCTGGCGGCGCTGTCTCTGGGATCTGAAGTGTCCAGAACGTCGCTCTCCTCGTCCGGATCATCCATGTCGTAGCCGGAGACGTTGTTCTCTGGTTCGTGCGGGGTTATCACATTTCTGCTGTCGACTACTCCGCTCTTACTCACACAGTATGTTTGCCCATCTTTAGTGAGCAGAAGATTAGAGTCCTTATCTTTGTTTGCTGATGATGTATTTTCTTCTTCGCTCATGACTCCGGTGTACAAAAACAGTGTAGCCGCAGCAAGCTAGCTAACTAACAACCATGCCTTTGCTCACGTTAACTAACACAGCAATTCGTCGTCATTTCCTCACCTAGCTTCTTATATTAGCAAGCATTTGGGTTTCTTTGTGAATGCGATAAAGGTTATATCAGAATTGGAACATGATTTCAGAAATAAAACGTATGAATGCTACACTGTTACATCCCTAACATGTAGCCCCCTGCTCTCGCACTATTTCGATAACACCGAGGGTTTTCTTCTTCGCTGTATTGGTTACATGTGTTAACAATGCCCCCTGGTGGTCATAATGACATATGCACGCTACCTACAATATGCATTTTTGATGGTCTAAGACCTAATGAAATGTTTTAATTAAGTAAGATAAATTATATCACACTATAAAATACTCAAATACAAGTAAAATGCATGCATTTATAATTGGACTTTGTCATCACACCTGTATGCTCAGCATAGAGGATTAACTATAAATGTTGAAGGATTCATAATAATTCATAATATCAAGTAACCCTCTAGTGAAGTTCCACCCCAACAGAGAGCAGTTAGCTCTCTCTCTCTCTCTCTCTCTCTCTCTCTCTCTCTCTCT